ATATTTTTTAATTGATGAAATGATAAAAAAATTTTTAATTAAGAGAGATAAAGAAATACTCAAAGAGGAAGAAATGATAGACCAAGAAAGACGGAAGGAAAGGAAACGAAAGAGAAACTCAAGGACAAAAAAATGGCGTAAAGCACAAATTCTTGAATAAATATGGTTATTGTCTTAAACATTTTTGACGACCATCTCTGTATTAATATTTTCGCTAAGTTTTATTCATATAAATAATTTTTTTCCTTACATTTTATTTTTTCTTTTAATTCGATATACTAACTATATAACAAACATATAATTAGATTAGCACGAAAACTACACAAAAATCTAAAGCGATGAATAAATTTTTTAATGGCAGTTCTAGTATAAGTAAGTTACTCAATAAATAATAGCCTTTGTCAAATTTGATATTATAAAAGAAATCTATATCAGTACAATCAAATAGTTAACTACTATATCAAAATCTGCAGTTTACTTTATACTATGAGAATCCATTGACTAGTGCGGAAGACTACATATTTCTACGTATTCTGTAAATGCAGTACATATTCATATGAAAGTTATGTATCACGTATATGCATAAGTTTTTTTTTGAAGAAAAATCATAATACAGGCATTCAAAGGAAACTAAATTTTTTTTTATTCAATGTCTTCACATTTAGACCACCAAAGCCTACATACTTTGTCCATCATTCCGGTAATTTATGTTATCCTGCCACAAAAACTAGAGAAATTACTCCTCTAATAGTTACGCCATTTTTGCTAGTGTTCCGTAAGGAACTATTTCGGGATTAGCAATTCAAAAAAATTTGATAACTTCTACATTCGCTGATGATACAGTAATACTGAGTATTCATTATTTATTACCACAAAGATGCTGCAGCGTCAATTAAATAACTAAGTGGAGAATTTGAGATAATGAATCGAAATGCATTCATATAACGTTTACTCTGAAAAAGGGGTCATACACGATTTTGATTATTAATAGAAAAGCTATTTACTACATGGATTCCATTAGCTATCTGGGAATTACACTGGAGAAGAGATTAATATATATATTATATTTTTATATAAAAAACTAATACTACCAAAACTAAAAACTTCTGATCTCAAATGGATTGTTCGTTCTAAATCAAAACTTAGTCGAGATAATAAAACGCGTCTTTTTAATAATATGGGGTAATGCTTCAGATTAATTTCAATTTTAGACAGAGTCCAGAGATCGCAATCAAAAACTTCTACAAAGTATTTATAAAACTATCTGGTATGTAAAAAAATATTAATATTCATAAGAAAATGAAATAAAATATTAGCTTTAACATTTGATAAAATAACATATTATTAGTTTCCAGTAGAAATAATAATTTGCAACAATAAAATAAAAAGTTTTAAATAAATTATTTAAACGTTAGTTTATGTTTTGTACTGTTTATATCAAGAAACAAAAATTTTAATATAGATATTATAGCATTGAAAGACACACTTCTCAGATTAGTGTTATAAGGTCCTTTTAAATATCCTTTATATATGAACATAGCTAAAAGCAAGAAACGTGGCCAAACAATCTTTTCCATTGACACTTTTTTATTTTTATTTAATTCTTATAGTGTATTTCATTTATTTAAATAAATGTAGAAGTAATTGTTCAAATTAGAAACGATAGTGTATATGGAATTTTTTTAATATTTATCAAATCTGCCTGAAAAGGTTTTTATAATGAACTGGATTTTGGTCAGATTCGCGGATGAGCATCTTGCCCGATAGTCTTTCTCTGTGCTATGACTGTGTCTTTATTCAGATTATTTTTAAACAAAAATAGTTACACGATAACAGGATTTAAGGAAAGCAGATGCATTAAATCTACATTTAAAATCTACATTTAAGACCACTCCGGCTTCACAATTACGGAAGTAACTATATGGTCAGCCAAAAATGCGTTTAATTAATATAATTTTCTTCAATGTGAAGCATTCGTTCTACGAAAAAGTATATATCTTGTTAAGACATCAAATTATCTTAATTAAATTTATATTTAATTTTGCTTTAAAAAAGGAAATCGTGGAGTAACTTTGCCATGACTTTTTCCGTATAAGATTCTTAGGTTAGGTTTTATAGATGAGTAATATAAAATCATGCAATAAATAATGCCTCTACAAAAGAATAGTATGGAACTTTACAAATAAAATTTGAAATTTAACGTCAGTATATGACGTAAGTGCCTAATTATTTAATAGAAACTAGCATATTTGGTCAGCCAAAAATTCAATTAATTAAAATAATATAAAAAGATTTTTTGTTGTTGTAGTTCACTACTTTCTGAAATTTTTCTACCAGTCAATACCGTCATAAACTGACGTTAAATTACAATTTATATTAAAAATATATGGTCTCGCCCGTGCGACCATATAACATTAGCATGACTTTCTCAGTATTACGTTCCTAGATTATATTTTTTATGATATCGTTTTAATAAAACACGGCAAGTGAATTTGTTAATAAACTTTCACAGAAAATTAACAAAGCTCCATAATCAAACATATAAGTCAAATACGACTTTGGGTCCGTTAGTCAATGAACACTGACTCCAAGCTTCAAATTTCGCAGGATACCAGTTAAGCCCTTGGTTTTTGAACTTCACCAAAAAAAAATTATTTACGTTTAAAATAATATAAGAAATAATTCTAACATCATTGATGATAGGTGTTTTGCCATACTCGAAATAGCTGCATGATCAATCAAAAACACAATTGATTAAAAATAAAACAATACTGAATTGTTACAATTCAGTATTGTTTGAAACCTCTCCATGTGCAATATATATATATATATACATATGTATATATATTATGATTTGCAATAGAAATTGTTTCGAAGTGAGGTTTATTTTTTAAGATCTTGAAAGGCACTACTAACACTACTCTTGCTCTAACAGACTAGTTATGAAGTATTTAATCATCTGAGAAGCTACAAAAAAAATGCTACCAGAGTGAGAAGCGATCTATATTAAAAAAATATGTCAGCAATAGACATTAGAAAGGGACATCGACTGACCCATTAGTGTTTGTTAATTAAAGCGAAACTAAATCAGTCTTTATCAGATAACAGTAATGAGTAAGATTTACAATAACAAAATACGCTGATGTTCGAAAATAAAATCGAAGAAGAAATTGGAGCGAATCAAAAAAAAGTATTACCTCATACATATTGCTTTTATGGTCCATACAGTTATATAGCATATGACTACAGCAATATTACAGTCAAGTATTTGAGTTTATTTTTTTATTTTAAATTCAAAAATTCAAAGTTCGCAATATAGTATAAAAAGTTAATAGAAAGTTCTTGTACATTTACTCAATAAAATATCACACATAATCTGTTGTCGCAGATCTGATGAGACTGAGAATGAGCCCATAAAAATTCTTGTCACAGCGACATCTATAAAAGAGTAATATTATTATTATGAATGCTGTACACTTTACTACATAAACCACATGCAAATAAACAAACTATAAAAAAATTAAATAATAATATGTATAAGATTGATGATTTCATTTATTGATAAGGTAAATCTATTATATGATATATATGTAAATTCCAGATATAATCCTATAAACTAATTAAACTAAATATAATTAAGTTAACAAACTATCGTAACCGACCGCAACTGAACTACCTCTCCTGGTGACTATTTTACGACTTCTTTCTATCCACGATCGCTTTGCCAACTGTTTACATTTTATTTCAACCACTGGCGTTACCAGCATGTATATCAAAGCAACCGCTTTGAATCGAAGAAAACGATTTAGATGAGATAATGCTTACAATTTTGTTTGATTGTCTGTAACAAATTCATTCTAGTTTACCAAACAAAAACCCCAAGGTAGTGGGAGGGAGTCTGTATGATTATAGGTCGGAATTCGAACAATTTGACTGAAACAATGAGGGAAATATACTTGGTTTTTGTTGCGCAACTATGAAAATTTATTTTACTTTTTTACTTTAATTTCACTTTTTTTCAGAATTCATATGCCAGTACGGTAAATGAATTCTTGAAACAAAACCTCTTATTTATAAAAATTATTTAAAGTATTGTCTTAAATGGTTCCGAACAACTTAACTTCTACCAGTTCCACAAACTGCAACTGATCATTCATCAAACATTGATTGGCATATATAGACATTGAAATGAATATAAAAAATGTTTGCAAAAATGTATTAAATATTTTGTACAGTTTGTTGACAATGGTAATGGTAATGGTAATTAAATGGTAATGGTAACGACTTATGATTTAGGATAAGACCTTTATGTACCGCGACCAGCTTGTTTTATTGTTCGTGTATAATACGAACAATGAAAAATCTAAATATTAAGCAAGTAAAATATTACTCTTTAAACTAATATTGTCGGATCCCGGACTGTGTATCCGAACTCTTCTGACCATAAAAATAATGCCATCAAATATGTTCCAGTTTTTAATAATTCGCCCTCTCCTCAATAAATATTCAATCGATAATAATATGCAGTAAATCGCTTGCACGTCAAACAGGTCCACCGTCTGATGACTTTCCGATATCAAAAAGCCAATTAAAGTCAATTAACAAAATAGTTTCAGCACTCAAAGAAGTCTACAGATATCCTTATTAATATTTAGATTGCAATTAATAAAATCACAGGATCGTAGGTACCATATATTCAGTTTGAAGTTTTTAATTTGCAATAAAAATCTATTAAATGATAAAATCTCAATCAAGTGTTTGACTCAATCACATTAATTTTTGGAACTACCACTCCAAAACTATTTGTAGATCCTTACCTTGTAATATCCCCATTTTATTCCCTCAACAAATAATTTTTTGGAACTAATTTCCGTCAACATTTTTGGTAAAGGATTTTATTCTTAATTAAAATTTAGAACCAATTTTAAGTTAATTAAAAAATTTATGGAATGAAAGTTTTTCAGGCAAAAAAAAATATTTTTCACAAAAAGGTTTGTTTACAATTTAATTTAAATATAATATCCAAAAAAAATGTTTCTTAAACATTTAAAATTTGGTTCAGATTTTCTTAGATCAGTCGTTACAGGACTTTTCATTCATATCCATAGTAGCCACATCTGTTTTTTTAATGGATTTATTCTTGTCAGTTCCGTTGTCCGAATCGACTTCTGCTGACTTTTCGTTCACTAACCGATATGAAGTCTTTGAATACGTTAGGTTGTATGCATCATTTTTGTCCTTATTCATTAAAATATTACTTAAAACAGAGGCGGATAGGTTTGCTTTGCCTTCATTTTTTGGGAAGTCTAATAGAAATGAACATGTGGATGATCAAAGATACTTGTATATAAATATAATTAGAATGTTTACCTGTCAACTTCTTTTTAGCCAACACATCAATTGGGATTTTAGTGCATTGAACGTTGGATTTGTCATTAGATGCATATTGTTCTTTGGTTTGCAGGGAAGTTTGAGAGGCTTCCATTGCAATAAACTGATGGGATGACTGTGTTGTAAAGTGGTTATTAGATTCACTTGAACTTGCAGTTATTTCTAAAATTCATTAGATTAGAAGATTAGA